ACCACACCCAGCACTTTTCCCTGCAACCACAGGAAGTGCTACACCTGCCCCCATACCTCCTCCCTCACCCCCATCCCAGGCCCCAAGAAGACTTTCCACATCAAGCAGATGTTCACCTGCACATCTGCCAATGTGATATACTGCATCCGCTGTACCCGGTGTGGCCTCCTCTACATCGGGGAAACTAAGCGGAGGCTCGGGGACCGCTTTGCAGAACACCTACGTTCGGTTCGCAATAAACAACTGCACCTCCCAGTCGCGAACCATTTCAACTCCCCTTCCCATTCCTCAGATGACATGTCCATCCTGGGCCTCCTGCAGTGCCACAACGATGCCACCCGAAGGTTGCAGGAACAGCAACTCATATTCCGCTTGGGAACCCTGCAGCCCAATGGTATCAATGTGGATTTCACAAGCTTCAAAATCTCCCCTCCCCCTACCGCATCCCAAAACCAGTCCAGCTTGTCCCCGCCTCCCTAACCTGTTCTTCCTCCCACCTATCCCCTCCTCCCACCTCAAGCCGCACCCCCATCTCCTACCTACTAACCTCATCCCGCCCCCTTGACCTGTCCGTCCTCCCTGGACTGACCTATCCCCTCCCTAACTCCCCACCTACACTCACCTTTACTGGCTCCATCCCCGCCTCTTCGACCTGTTTGTTTCCTCTCCACCTATCCTCTCCTCTATCCATCTTCTATCCTCCCACTCTCTCCCTATTTATTTCAGAACCCCCTTCCCCTCCCCCTTTTCTGATGAAGGGTCTAGGCCCGAAACGTCAGCCTTTCTGCTCCTATGTTGCTGCTTGGCCAATCATATTCGGAGTTTAACTAGCACTGCCATTTTAAAATAAATTAAGAGGCATCAGACTTGAACTTCCCACCACACAGTTTTACCATCATGAAATACAGTAGAATCTCATCTTAAACTGTAGGGCCAGCTAATTTTAAATTTACAGTGGTATGCAGACTATTCTAAATCCAGGCTGCAATGCCTCTTGATCTGACGAGCGAAGGGAAATCCCTGAGCAGTGTTTAAAATAAGCACAAATAGGGCAGCAGTGTTAGCACAGTATAAATTATTGGTAATGGCAAAGTCTGTAAACCTGGCTGAGAGGTTACAAAGTGGTGGGCATCTTTGATCATTCTGTGTGTCTACCCTCATCACCTGCTCCTTTCCTGTTTATGGAAAATGTATGGTGATTCTGGAAGTAAGACACATTTTTGGGAGGTAAAATATTTCGTCACTGAAAGGCGGTAGGGTCTTTTTTGTTTGTATTTTTGTTATTGCAGAGCTGAGAAAATATTTTCCTTATTAATTCTGTTGAGGATGATGTTTGTGGATGTTAGGGGCAGGAAACTGTAAAAGTAGCAGAGGGAAACAAGGAAGTCTTGTATATAGATGGAAAGAAACTGGACAGGGGAGAAAAATAGTCATGATAGGAAGAAGCTAATTCTCTGGGATAAGAGCAGACTTCAATGATGGGTCTGCCATAGCAGGCCTTTGTGTAGGTCTTGGAAACATGGTAAAAGTGTGCTTTTTGGGGTTGGACGGAAGATTCTGGCTGATTTAAGATGAGTTGCAATCTCAGAAACAACATAATGCTATTTGGCAGTGGCGTCATGGTCTGGGAGCAAGTGCTCTCACTAGTGTTCAAACTTTACAAAGTAGAAGCCAGCACCCAAACAGCCAGAACTCCATCCTCATCAGCAAGTATAATGACGATAACAGGGTTGGCCTTGAGAGAATGGAGTGCTGCAGATTCAGAGAGGGAAGGATACAATGCATCAGGGGAGCAGAGGAGTTCAGATGACCAATGCCATACTTACAGTGAAAAGATTTAGATTATTGCAGTTTGTCCTTCAATCTGAGTGAATAGTTCATTTTGACAAATGTTGTGGTTAAAATTGTCAACTAGAAAAATGATTATAAAAGTGCAGGAGACTGTTGTGACCCTTTACTCTTAGTTCTGAAGTCTTTTTTGCAATTGTGGAACACTTAATTTCTTTCTTGATCAAACAAATGTGACTCAATGACCTTATTGTAAACTTTACTGGTTAATACTCTCATGGGTCGCCTTTCTGGTTTAACAGAGCTCTCGGCATCAATATTATCCACTGCAACGGATTACTTGCTTTAATGAAATCCATTGATTCAAGGTAATATCTGAACTTTTCAGAATGGCACGTTTATTGTGTTCGGCCTGCAAATTCTGTTCCTCAGTGCAGCATGTTGGCATTGGCTTTCCAAGAAATCACTGCTTGAAATTGTGACCATGTACAAAAGGTTAATGACACTGCTTTAAACTGCATTATTCTACTTAGGCTGGGTCAGAGAAGCCCAGCAACACAGTGGATTGCTGTTCCAGTTCTCTGAGGCATGCAGTGAATGTTAGTTTTCTCTTTCTTTTGTCAAGGAGTTACAATTAACAAAGTTAAACCAACCTCTTTCTCTCATTTTACGTTAATTAAATTACCCTAAAACCCTCCACTCATTAAGAAATGGGCCACAAAAAAAAAGTTATGCCAATTGGAACTTAACATTTTAAGTTTTGAAATCAAAGGGAAAAAAATATGCAGGCTAATTTTGTTAAAAGAAAAGTCCTTGGTTTAACATTGACTGTATCATTCCTGTATAAGCTTTGCTCCATTTACAAACAGCCAGTATTTCTAGCTTCTCAGAAAACTGGGGGTGCACAGGCCAGCAAATTCCAATGGAGAAAATTTTCAAGGCGTTATCCCTTTCGTCTAATTTCAGACTTAGATTTACATCGAGCCATGACCCATGCAGCAGCCTTAATAAGGAGATGGCATTTTTTTTTTCAGGTTTGTGGGGTTTGGTGAACAATGCTGGAATGTGCTTCAACATCAATGATGCTGAACTCTCGGCCATGTCCAACTACAGATGCTGCATGGAGGTCAACTTCTTTGGTACAATAGCCATTACCAAGGGCTTCCTTCCGCTGATACGTAGAGCAAAAGGCAGAATTGTCAACGTTTCCAGTCCAGTGGGTAAGCTCTTATGTATAATTATACATGTATATGCACAAGCAAACAAAATCTGAGAAATACACTACAAAATAGTTATATGAAAGACTTCATAGAGAAAATGAACTTATTTTATCGTTTTCATTCCCCATGCCCAACATCCATTTAGAGTCTGATCAACCCCTGGGTGCTGGATATACCTTGGCAATTGGTGAACCTGGTGACACACATTAGTTGTTCCATGGTTTTCTCAACATATGTTTAATGTGAGAGGGTGGTATAATGGTAAGGTCACTGAATTAGTAATTCAACAGTCCAAACTAATGTCCTTAACAGAGATTCAAATCACATCTTGGTAGCTGGTGAGATTTAACTTCAATTAACAAATCTGGATCTGTCTTGACTTTTATTGATTGTCCCACTTGGTTTGTGAATGTCCATTAGGGAAGGAATTCTGTCACTTTTACCTGGTCTTGCCTACATATGACACCAAATCTTCTGGCAATGTGACTGTCTTGTAATTATCCTCTAAAATGATTATGCCATTCACGGGCAATTAAGAATGGGCAAAAAATGTAACTCTCACCATCCCATGAAAGAATAAGGGAAAAACGATGAAAAATTGAGGTAGAAACCAAGGGGATAAATATCTTCTGAGCTTCTTCACTGTGCCTCATTAACTGCCATATAAATGCTGTTCTCAAGTTTTGACTGGTTTTGTATGTTATGGTGAGAGAGCAGACAAAGCTCTCTTGAAACTTGTCTCCCTATAATCAGTCATTACAGGGGGCAGTGTGTTCTCCATAAATGTACTGCTTTCCTGTTTATGCATCTTTAATATATTGTCCCTGCTTGACAGTGAAGTATTAAAATTTAAGCAACAGCTATTAATGATAGTGCAGAGTTTCATGGTATATCCAGATAACAATTTTTAAAATTAAAAGTAGATGATATAAGGAATAGGATTGAGTGATCTGGCCCCTTGAGCCAGCTTAGTCATTCAATAAGATCATAATTTATCAGTTTCGATGCTTTAAATTCACTTTCCTGCCTGCCCCACATATACAACTGGTCTATTCTGACTGTGCTATAGTGAAACAGTATCTCTACCACATATGAATCTTCTAAAGTACATAAGTTGATTGCATGTTGGTAAGCGTAGTGACACTTTGCAAGTGTGGAATAACTTCATACAATATGCATTCAAATAGAATTTCTAATAGCATAATCCATCAATAAATCCTTAATCAAAAATCCTACTTAACAGTCTCTTGCATTTTATTTAGTGCAACTAAAAAAAATGTAACTAATCATTCACCATGCATTTCCTTCCAGGGGAGATTCCATTACCCTTCTTAGCGCCTTATGGAGCTTCAAAAGCTGCACTCACCCTATTCACAAACATTTTACGCCTGGAGTTGAGACACTGGGGAGTGAAAGTTTGCACCATACTTCCAGCATTTTATAAAACTGGTAGGTATTATTTGGTGTAAATGCAAAAGCCAACAGAAGGTGGACTTTCTTTAGGGCCTGGTGCCACCAGCAGTCAGTCTTTGTCATGATTACACTTCTGGAACGCTGCTCAAATTTCCAATAATAATTCACAAGACAAAAGTTGGCTTTTGGAAGAAAGATGTCAAGATGTTCATCATTCCTGTTCAGTTCATTATGAAACAGTGACAAATATACAATTATTTTTCTCATAGTACTTTGCCCCTTCTAGCGGAATATGCTACACTGGGAGAAGCAAAAATGTAAACCTTATTTTGTCAGTCGCAGTGAGAAGGATGATGCTGAAGAACAATTGTCAGCCTGCAAACCAATGTATCTTTCAAATCTTGACCACTAATCCTCTTCTTGCCCCAACCTTTTTTGAACCAACTGGCAGACAATTCAGTAACCAGCGAAAACACATTCAAAATATCTAGCAAAAGAACCAGGAGGAAGATGAGAATTATTGTGCAGCACATTGTCGTGATCCGGGATGTTGTGGGGGTGGAAGCAAGGTCAATAGTTACTTTTTTTAAAACAAAGAGGGATAAATACTTTGAAATAACTACACAGAGGCCAGTAGCGTGTCAGCATGTCACCCTTTATTTACATGTACACAGTACAAGGGCTCTGACCAGCCAACTCTACCTGGCCATTGTTCCAACCGCTACATATTTGAAAATGGAAAAGGAAAAACACCTGCAGACATTTGGGCAAAAAAATGAGTGAGTGAGACTAATTAGATAGCTTATTCAAGAGGTGTGAATGGCCTCTTTCTGTGCTGTAAAATTCTATGAAGCTTCTTGCTAACCAGCTTTCTCTGAAAAGGCAAAAAACTTGAGATAAATTTGGTGAAAGCCCCTCTCGTGCTTTGACTCCTTTCAACAATTGAGCGAGTGCAAGAACATCATGGGACTTCTCGTTGATCAATAAACTAGTAATGCCCCCCAGTAACTGGAAGTGCCCTCTTCTCTCAGATGCTTGTCAAGCCCCTTTCACAATGAGCCCATATTTCTCACTGTTTGTTCAGGGGCAAAAATTAATGTGTTTTAACAGAACCGGCTTCATACACTTTTTTTTAAATACACATAGTGTTGAAACTCAGAATGCTTCTACATAGACAGGCAAACTGTGAAATATACAAGGAACTTGGAGAGGATTGGGTGGTTGCTGTTCTGCTTGACACTATGCCTTACCATTTTCTTTCAACGGCCAAAGCTGAAGTAATTGCATTGAAGCTAATAGCCTATGGAAATGTTCAGTGCTCATTTAAGTGATTGTTCAGACAAGTGAACAGAAGGCTGAACCACATCTGGGGCTTATCACTTGACAGCTGGCAGTGCTGTGGAACATTAACTGGAAGAGTGTGCTCTGATTCCAGTAAGCACTGAGCCCAACAGAATACTTTACTGGTGAGCAAGAATACAAGTTGTCTTCTCCATCAAGCCAATACTCACAAAACTCAGAGAGTCCATTGGATACCATCTATGTACTGATTGACTTGGATAATACATTCACCTTTAGATAGATGCAATGTGATGATTTACCATCTTCTAGAGACTGAAGTAAATTTACAGCACAATAGTTCATCTATACTCCCTGGATTATTAATTTTATGTGTGCTGTAAGAACAATCACAGACAGATACTATATAGATTCATTGTAAGTGATTGCCTGTTTTACTTCGTTCGTTCCCTGCATGGCAAATTGTAGAACTCCTTAACGTACTCATTATTCCTATCTTACCACAATATTGAACTTTTTGAATCTAGTGGTGCTTCATCACAACTGTTTCTTTTTTTTTACTCATTTCGATCATGTTATCCTTCTTGACCTGTTAGCTTTGATCCCTAATTGTTTCAATTCATAGGAAATTTTTGAAATACGAGCTGGGTCAAAGGGGCTTTTGAGACTAAGATCAATAGATTTTTGTTGGCTAAAGATACTGAAGGACAGCCAACAAGAGGATGCAGTGACGAAACTCAGATAATACTCTTGGGACCCAGATTCGCATCCCACTGCAGCTGAATTAGAAAAGAATCTTGAATCAGAAGTCTAATGAAGGCAATGAAAGTGTTGTTGATTGTAAAAACCCGTTTGGTTCACTAATGCTATTCAGGGAAGGAAATCTGCTGGGCTAACAAATGTCAAATTACAATTGTGCCACACTAATGCCAGACAGTGACCATCTCCAAAAAGTGAGAATCTAAACATTGCCCCTTGATGTTCAATTACATGACCATCACATACTTTCCCCACTATCAACATCATTGAGGTTATCATTGACAAGTAAATGAACTGGATTAGCCATATAAATACTGTGTTTACAAGACCACGCCTGAAACTAGATATTCTACAGCGAGTAACTCATCTCCTGATTCCCCAAAGCCTGTCCATCATCTACAAGGCATAAGTCATGAGTGTGATGAAGTACTCTCCAATTGCCTGGATGACTGCAGCTCCAACCACACTGAAGAAGCTTGGCATCAACCAGGACAAGCAACCCACTTGATTGGTACCACATCCACAAACATTCAATCCTTGCACCACTGACATTCAGTAGCAACAGCATCTACAAGATGTACTGCAGAAATTCACCAAGATTTCTTCAACAACATTTTTCAAGCCCACAACCTCTGCCATTCAGAAGAACAAGGACAGCAGATATATGAGAACACCACTATCTATAAGTTCCCCCCGCCCCCAGCTTTGAAATGTATCACCATTCCTTCAGTGTCACTGGGTCAAAATCCTGTAATTCCATCTCTGATGGCAAAGTGGTTATAACATCACTGAATGGATTTCAGCAGTTTCAAGGAGACAGCTCACCACCATCATCTCATGAGCAATCAGTGCTGGCCCAGCCAGTGACATTTACATCCTATGAATGAATTATTAAAAGCCAGGTGGATAAGTGGAGTTGTGGTGCACATTAGTCCTGATGTAAGTAAATGGTAGAACAGGCTCAAAGCTTCTGAACTTTCCAGTACCATGATCTGACCTCTGATCTGTGCAGCCTGGACAATGAGAGCTCCCATTCACCTCCAAATCTGATTAGCTGTTAAATTGGAGTTAAATGGGAACCTTTCAGAGTAGCTGCTACCATAGTAATCTCTGCTGTGAGGTCTGATTTTGGACAATGTGGAGTTTGGCTGTTATGCCAATGGCCATTGACTTGCCTGCCAAAACCCTCAATACAGATTTACACAGGAGGAACAGCCAACTGGACAAAGAACCATGAGGCTGCTCCCATCAGTTATCAGCTTTAGGAAAGAGAGGGAGAAAAAGAAGGCAGGAAATCCCAAATAATTTAGTGCATGTTGTATCCAGTAAATTGAACTTGGCAATCCATGTCAACTCCCTTAATCCTTCTAAATTTATAGCAACATGATTTTTCAACATTAGAATTATGTGTATATAAAATTTAACAATTTCTTGTCTGCATACTTATCAAGACATCAAGAGCCCTCTTGTTAAGCAATTTACATGATCTAGGTGAAAGGATAAGAATATGGGGGAGTGGTGGGATAACTCATTTCTCCATCACATTTGAAGGGTAGGACTGTTGGGAATCAATCTGCCCTGGACTCCTGTGTAAGTCTCAACATATATTCAATGGAAGGGATACAAAGTGAGCAATGGTAGGGTGGGGGAAATGAGGATTGAGGGCATCTCGGATTGGAGAAGCTAGAAGCATGGGACATTGGGAACCTGGGATTGGAGGAGCTTCGAGCATGTGAGAGAGGCAACCTGGGATTGGAGGAGCAGTGAGCTCCAACAATGGAAGGGACAGGAGCACCCAGAATTGAGCAGTGTGCAGCAGGAAGATTGCGAAGCAGGGAGCCAGACAAGACCCCAGAATCCTGAGAGAAACTGAACCACAACTGATGTGAGCTTTCTGGATTAATTGGTGAAGTCGGTGAAGGGAAAGTGGTGAGAAACCTGGAAGATTTGCAGTAGGTAGTTGGCCTGTTAGGAGAGGGGCAGGGATGTACTGATGAGCCTAATGGAGCTCAGAGAGTGTCTGGATTCAAGCCCTGATGGTGAATGAAACTCTGAAGTGCTCCCATTCAGCAGCGGTCAATAACCCAGGACTCAAGCTGGAGCTGAATGACCCAGAATGATCACATCTCATTGGGTGCAGCTCAATGGGAAAGACATTGGCGTTTGGCTAACGGTTTTGATAAGTAGCATCTCATACTTTCTCACCTGAATGTTTATTATATGTAAATGTAAATGGAGCATAGTCAATAAACACCTACTGTTAGAATTGGCTGAGGCTTACACACCAGCCTGAAAGATCAATTTAAGCAATCTAGATTAATGGGGAATGGACAGAAACTCAGATTATTTGAGTTTCATTTTATTGTTTAGTAAGAAGAATACATTTTTAAGGTTTGTAGGCTCTAAACCAGAATTTCAAGCTGTGTGCATCTACCCTACACCTTTTGCATTTTATCCACTCTCCTGAAAACAGGATAACTTTTGCCGGAGAAGAGAAACTAATAGTCCAGTTGTAGGATGAGAGACTAGCAATGGGATAGACATCTCTGAGAAAGGGTAGATTGAGATTAGATGAGGACAGGGAGGACAAGGTCTGTGAATGGGGCATGTGAAAGTAGAGGCATGGTGAGGTGCATAAGATGATATTAAATAGAATGTGAGAGAAGTGATAAAAAGGGACCAGTGGGAAGGATGAGCAGCCAGCAAACTAGAATACATGATGCATTGACCTAGACAAGCTCTCATAACTTATTGAAAATTCAATTATTTTAAGTTATCCATGGACAATAAAGCAATGCTAAGAGAAGTTTGTAGCTTGCCAAGTATAAAGAAATTTGAGACTATGGGAGGAAGATGATGTGAAAGTAGAGTTGGTGAGTTGAACTGTGTACTGTAAATGGGACATACTGCAGTCACAGTGTATCAGTAGCAGAGGAGGTGGATATTGAGTCCAGTGGTGCCAATCAAACTGGCTAATGAGACTTCAGTGTTGCTGATGTTCTACAATGCACCTATCCATAGGCTTTCTCTTTAGTCATTGTTACTTGCAAAGTTCTGATTCTGGGCCTGAACTCCCTGTATTTTTGTTGGAACGCAACAGCACTTCACTTGTGCATAAACTGGTCATGGTCACTACAGCATGATGGCAGAAATCTGGAAGATCCAGATTCTGGTAAATCCAGATCATTGCTAATGGTTATTAATCAGTCATTTAATGATTTATGGATAAGGAAGATTACAGCCTTATTGATCTACACTGCCAAAATACAATACTTTCTTTTCCTGTCTAAAAGAAAATGTTAATATTTTGCTGTTTGTCATATTATTTAACCATTCTTGTGTCTAATTACCAGCTCCATCGTGTAATTTTGAGTATTGGGAACAGCAAGTCCACCATCTTATAAAGAGTATTTCTTCAGAACTGCTCCAGGACTATGGAGAAGAGTATATGTTAGAGACAAAAGATCTGTTCCTGAAATACATTGCAACTGCCAGGGAGGACTTTAGCCCTGTCATTGAAAGTATCACTGATGCTATCCTCTCAAGAAATCCGAAACCAAGATATTACGCAGGCAAAGCAGTTATTGTTTTGTATATTTTTCTCTGTATTTTACCAACATCACTGAGTGATTTAATTTTCAACAGGTTTTTCTTAATTAAGAAAGTCTTACCAAAGGCTTTGAAAAAGTAGTACAGTGGTGGTGGCAAGTTTTGGAGGGGAGAAAACATATTATGAAAAATTTCTCCAAAACTATCCATTTTTCTGATCAAACTCAATGTGTCAGTTGTTCACTTAATAACAATGTACTTGCATGAACATAATTGACTCTGCTGGGAAAACTGAAATGAGAAAGGAAAGATGGGAGGTAAATTTCACTGCACAGTCTGAGTGGTAAATTTACGAAAGTGCATTGGACATCTGTAATAGAAGACCCATTTCTTTATTAATTTTCACCCCATTGATTCCAATCACTAAAGGTATATAGTACTCCCAAGGATTTAACTCTAGGGCATTTTGTATATCAAATAACGTATGTAGAAATATAGCTAATTTTTTATTGTTTGTAATGATTATGCCAAAATGTTCAACAGTATCCTAAGTTCTTTCTGTTTTTGAACATGGTTGTCTGTTTTAATATAACTTATAATTATGGGTTAAATGTTCTGAAATTCCATAAGTTGCTTTTTTTATAAGATGTTAAATTCTGGCACATAAAGGGAACATTTTATTTGCAGGACAGAGATTGTAGAATTATAGTTCTAACAATGAAATCTGGTATATTTTATAAATAATTGTTCTTTGAACAATTTTGAAGATGCAGTCTAACTTGGGAAAATCTGGACTGTTTTAGATATGTTTTGTCTTAATCTTCATCAACCTTTTGAAGAGCTTGTGCTTGCAGATGCAACAGACCTATGAACAAGAAAAGGACTTCTGAACTTATCAATGCACAGACCTATTTTTACCAAATAGTGTCCTAACTCATTTTACAAATGCTATATTCTCTCCAATATAATGATGTATTAGATCATGTTCAAAGATAGAGATCGATAATTTAGTTCAAGACTGGGAATTTCTTCCAGGTAGGAGGAATCTTCCGCATCTTTTTCAGAAGATTTTGATAAGGGAATATTCCTCTTCAAAGTGATCCTTATTCTACACACTATCCATTTTCTTCAAAAAAGGAACTATTTGCATCCTTCAGTTGTTTAAGCATCTTAGAAAAAACAACACATTTTGTTTAAGGCACATTAAAAATTCAACATATATTGTCCAAACAAAGCCTTGATCTATGTTATGTTGCTACTTGATATCTCTTATTAACAAACCTCCATCAGTTGAAGCTAGTCAAAGTCAAAACTTTCTGCTAGCTTGAAGGAACTGTAAACTACTGGTATAAAATTCAACCATGGAATGTCCAAAACAAAACAATGGCAATAAGCAGCAATAAATGTGGTCTTTTTTATATACTGCATATACATTTGATCCTGTGTGTATGTTATTAAACTGTCATTTATGCTTTGAGCATCAACGTCATGAATTCATCTTTGAAGCACGATTCAAGTCCATATGTCACTGTAGCAATCAACACTGCAAGTATTTATACTAGTCAAATAATTTGTGATGCATAGCCTGCATTTTTATGATTTCCTGTAAGTTAATATTTCATTACATCTATTGTAACTGCTGGAGCAAAACTTGCAGAATTACGGAAAGCTTTCATTTTTATTCTTTTAAGAATGTAACTTGTGCAAAGTATGTGCTTCGATAAATTCTGGAAAAAGGCAGAATGACCTAACCTACATCATTTATCATTACTTTCATGCCTGTAAGTTTTAACTTAGAAATAGAAATGTAGCCCAAGTTAAAAATTAGCTTTAATATTTGGAAATATAATGTTTGATGATTAGTAGATTTAAGTTAGAATCACAAATGCCAGGGGTCTTGAAAAATATGAAAGTGCAGAATGTAAAGATGTGATATAACTTGAACCATGTTGAGAATGGTTTCTATTATATTGTGACAGACAAAACTTTTTGTATTTATTCAGGGACCTTGCAGCTTGTTTTACATCACAAGATGAAACAAGTTATCCAATTTTTCTTTTTGCAAAAGAATTGCTTGTGGTAAAATGTAGATCTATGTAATATTTTCATTCCAGTTGTTTCATGTATTACTTAAATAAACATCATATCACAGATCTTGTTCTTGTATCAGCATGATCATGGCTGTTGGGATAACGTCGTAGCGCATTTATTTGCACCATCACAATGGCTGTACTGCCTCGGGCAAAATCCTCAATTTCTATCTTCATCAAAGCAACATAGTACACTGTATGTAATTGACTACATGCCTCTGTTAACTCCTTGAGCACAAGCTGCCATTTAGTGTTGTGGAATACACAGTTTCTATGCTGTAATATTTGGATTAGTGACTGACAATAAATTTCTAGTGCAGATTATAAAAATTAAAGTTAAATCCACATAACCATTCTTGGTTGGTGCCCTGTCTGAATGTTTGGAACAAGTTCATAGATGAAAATTCTCCATTTAGTTAAATGGCCCAGCTTAACATAAGAGCAAGGCATAGGTCTACATTGATCTATTTTTGTACCAAATGGCCATTCACCCCAACCAGTCCATGCCAGTGTTCATGCTGTACTTCAGCTTCCTTCTTTTATTCTAAACCTACCATCAGACCCACAATCTCCTTATACTCTCAAATGTTTCTCTACTTACCCTTTAAATGCATCAATATCATTTGTTTTCAGCAAGGTCCATTTGACTACTTTTTGAAGATTTAATTTCTTCTAGTCACCAAGAAATCCAGAAAGGGGAAATATATCATGGTCATGAGCAATGCTTTTCCCAATTATGAAGGAATATTCTCTCCGTATCTAGGCTTTTCAAAGCAGATTATTCATATGAGGTCAAGTGGCCATAAAGGAGCTACAATAATAACAGGCTGAATCTAATGCTTTTGGCTAAAGCCAAGTATCATTTTTTTGGAAGGATTTCTGCTACAAGACCTAATGAGTGTCCTTGCCATAATCACAGAATCCCTACAGTGTCAAAGCAGAGCATTTGGCCCATTAAGTCCATACTAGCCCTCTGAAGAGCTTCACACCCAGACCCACAACCCTGAATTTACCATGGATAACCTATCTAGCCCACACATCCCTGGACACTATTGGCAATTTAGCATTGGCAATCCATCTAACCCGTACATCTTTGGACTGTGGGCGGAAACCGGAGCACCTGGAGAGAACCCACACAGATGCAGAGAGAATGTTTTTAGATGGAGCGGATTTTGTCCAGTGTGTTCAGGAAGGATTCCTGACACAGTACGTAGATTGACCAACACGAGGAGAGGCCACTTTGGATTTGGTGTTTGGCAATGAACCGGGCCAAGTGTTAGACCTGTTGGTAGGAGAGCATTTTGGCGGTAGCGATCATAACTCTGTTACTTTTACAATAGTCATGGAAAAGGATAGGTACATACAGCAGGGTAAGGTTTATAATTGGGGGAAGGGTAATTACGATTCTGTTAGGCAAGAACTGGGTAACATAAAATGGGAACAGATGCTGTCAGGGAAGAGCACTATTGAAATGTGGAGATTGTTTAAGGAATGTATACTATGTGTGCTCGATATGTTTGTCCCTAGCAGGCAGGGAAGATGCGGTCGAGTGAGGGAGCCTTGGTTCTCAAGAGAGGTCAAATGACTGGTTAAGAGGAAGAAGGATGCTTATATAAGGTTTAGGAAACAAGGAACGGAAAAGGCTCGAGAGGGATACAAGTTATCCAGGAAGGAACTGAAGAAATGGCTTAGGAGAGCTAGAAGGGGGCATGAGAAAAATTTGGCAGATAGGATCAAGGAAAACTCCAAGGCTTTTTACACGTAGGTGAGGAATAAGAGAATGACCAGAGAAAGGGTAGGGCCGATCAAGGATTGTAAAGGGAATTTGTGCACGGAACCTAAAGAGATAGGAGAGGTCCTTAATGAATACTTTTCTTCGATATTCACAACTGAGAGGGACCTAGTTGTAGGGGAGGACTGTGTGAAACAGGCTGGTAGGCTAGAGGAGGTGGATGTTAGTAAGGAAGATGTGCTAGGAATTTTGAGGAACTTGAAGATAAATAAGTCCCCCAGGCCTGATGGGATTTATCCAAGGATTCTATGGGAAGTGAGGGAAGAGATCGCAGAGCCTTTGGCGATGATCTTTTCGTCCTCACTGTCCACGGGTATAGTGCCGGAAGATTGGAGAGAGGCAAACGT